GTGTAAATCTGTGTTCAGGTTCTGTCAGCAGCATTTCCTGTTTTGGAGAAGAGCCTTGTAAGAGGAACACTGGGTGTTGCCCAGGCTTTCCTTAAGCAACAAATTCTTTCTAGATAATACATCTTCTTTGAAGTCTGCAAATATTTGGATCTAGGATTTTTGGTTACTCTGTCATTTAAGACCACAGTGTTGTTAGTTTCTGTCTAAATTGATGTATATTGCAGATTCTAGATATTTCAGCCAGCTTCTTTCTTACTGTAGCTTCAGTGAAAGACCTGTTGGGTGGATCTGGCTCACTATATCAAGAGGCTGGGCAGTGCCTAAACAAAATAATACAGTGCATTGCTTTACAGCATGAAGTTTAAAATGTTAAACTGCAGTATTTTTTATTGCTTGAGGCAGTATCCAGAGAGATCATCATGGCTATTATGGCCAATGTTGTGGTAAAAATAGGCTGTGGTGTTGAAGGCTGTGCGGAGATGACAGTGATGTGTCCTTGCAGTTGTCAGCTTACTGGTCTGATTCATCCCCCTCTAGAGTTCTTGGAGGTTATGCAGAGGATAACAGGAGCAATCTGTTAGCTGCTGTAATTTGCTTTTGGGACCTAAGTTTCACAAATTGCAGAATGGTTGAGGTTGGAAGGAACCTCTGAGATTGAGCAGGCCAACTTCCCTACTCAGTGCAGGGTGAGCTAGAGCAGGTGACCCAGAGCCATAGCCAGTCATATTTGAATGTCTGGAGATAGAGTCTCCATAAGATTTCTGGGCAACCTGTTCCAGTGTTCAGTCACCCTTAGAGTAAGCAAGTATTCCCTTGTGTTTAAATGGAATTTTTTGGTTTTCGATTCAAGCAAATGTGCCTTGTGCTTGCTTTTGTTGGATACTGCTGCCGATTCTGTCTTCTTCCCATACTCTCAGAACATATAAACACTGACAAGGTCCTTCCTGAGCCTTCTCTTCTCCAGGCTAAGCAATCCCAATTTTCTCAGCCTCCTCTTGGGTCAGATGCTCTGGTCCCTTGGTCATCTCTGTGGCTGTTTGCTGGACTCACTTCAGTAAGTCATGTCTGTGTTGTGCTGGGAAGTCCAGCAGTGGATCCAGTGCTCCAGATGTCTCTCCAGTGCTGAACAGAGGAGGAAAATCACACCTTTGATCTGCAGTTCCCAGTGCAGCTCAGGAAGCAATTGACCTTTCTTGTTACTGGGGACACATTGCTAGCTTATGCTCAAAATTTTGTACACCAGGATCCACTTCTGCAAAGCCACTTTCCAACCTGTGCTAGTGCATGAGGTTGTTCCCTCCCCAGAGACAGCACTTTGCATTTCCTTTTGTTGAACTTCATGAGGTTCCTGTTGGCCCAAATTTCCAGCCTGTCAGGGCCCCTCTCAGTGGCACCCCAACTGTCCTGTGTATTAATTGTCTCTCCCAGTCTTTCTAGAGGCTTGTTGACGGTGCAGTTGATCTGATTTTCCAGGTCATTAATGAAGACAGAAAACATTATAGGCCTAGAGGTGTACCCCTAGTGACTGGCCTCTGGCTGGACTTTGTACCACTGATGATAATCCTCTAAGCCTGGCAGTTCAGCCAGTTTTCTCTGGACAGTTCACCTCACTGTCCACTTAGAGTCTGTATTTGTATCAGTTTGTCATCAGTTAAGTATGATTTTAGTATGAAGAGGTTCCAGACATGGTGTTCCCCCATCTATCCCTAAAGATGACTGACTTTTCTGTTACCTTGCTAAAATGCTTTCTAAAATTAGATTCTTAACATGTAGGCTACTGATAGAAATTTAATAAAGCTACTACTAATTAACATCTGATACATATTGGTTGTGCTGAAGTGGGTCTTGCTGCTGCCAGGCAGCCTGTAGTACAGGATCTGCAAATGAGTATGGGTTTGTGAAATACAGTGTGTTATATAGAAAGGTCTGGAGATCAGCCCCTATTCTGCCACAGAATGATGGCAGAATCAATTCCCATCTGAATTTGCCACAGGTGCCTCTGCTGACCCAGTAGACATTTTTAGTATTCCTGATAAATCCACCAGTTAATGTCATCTTTAGCTCATTTATTTTCATGTCTCTGAAGAAAGAGGCTGATATTTGGTATTTCTTTTCAAATGAATCTTTGAATCTCAGGCAACCTATTGTAGGAATTTGTACCATGATGTATGAATATATTTTGTAATGAATCTGGGCTTGAGTGAGTCTGCCTTTTTCAGTCTTGCATTGCGGTGATATAAAATACCTGCTTGGCAACAGCTCTGGGAGTTAATAAAGTTTCTGTGGTAAACTATGAGAGGCCTGAGAATCTCAAACTAAAGTTATTGCACCAGTAACTCAGAAAAGCAATTCCTAAAACTCCTGGCACATTTATCCAGAGGGTTAGTGGTAGCACAGAAATGGAAATCATTGTTGAGAGCCACTGCGTTCTTGGAATTAAAATCCATCAGTCTTCTGAAGCTGAGAAAAACAATTTTCATGACATACAGATGCTTTTGTGTTTCATAATGAAAATTAATCTAGGGTGGGTTTTGATTCTATTTGTAGGGAAATTTGTATCCTCTAATCCTTATAATATACCTAACTTGAGATGACATCAAAAGAAGTAACACGCAGAGAAGCTAGGCATTTAAAATACTCTCAATGCTTTATTCTATTTAATTTCAGCAAAAGCAGATTTATCTCTTGGGGGAGTAGGATAGAAAAAGAGTGAGGATACCAACATCCTCTTCTCAAGTGGGAGCCTCGAGCACAGAAGTTGGAAGATGAGATGTGAAAATGAAAATAACTGTAAACAAAAAAGGAAATTTAGCACTCTATTTCCACTCTTCTTGGTGGAAAAGGAGGGACAATGACATTAGTAAATCATTAAAAAGCAGCATTTGCTTTTCTGAGTTGCAAGTTGAACTGCTGTAGCTGTCAGCAGGGTCCTTATGCAACCCTTGCTCAGGAGTTTTCTCTGGGTCCTTAACATACCTGTTGGCAGCTTCCTTGCCTGCTGGGAATTTTGTCCAGTTCATTGGAGCATAATGAATGACACCACTGTGTCCCTGACAAGATAAACAGTGTGTCTGCCTCTGGAACAAAGAAAAGACTCCTAACTGGTCACAGCGTAGGGCCTGTATTCGGACTGATCCATGCTTGTAGCAGGCACAAGGATGGTTGGTTGGTGCAAACATCATACACACATTGTTTGATTTCCTTTCAGAAGTGCCTCTTAAGTTTGTAACATCCAAATTTTGGCGTACTTCTGGAGAGGGAGATTCTTGTTGTGGATGCCAGATAAACTGTGTAGTTTCTTTTGCTCAGAACATCAGTTCCAGTGGGTTCCCTTCCCCAAGAAAAACTTGTTCATGTTCACAGACCACGGACAAGCATAAACACATACACTGAGGGGTGATGGGACTTCTTGATGAGAAATATTTTTGTAAGAGTAACAAAAAATGTGGGGGTTCGTGTAAAAGCAATGAAAAATTTCTGACAACCAACCAGAAATTGTTACAGTCTTCCTCAAAAATGCTTAATAATGCTGTTTATAAACAACTTAAGGAAACATAATAAGTTTTCGTTTTCATCTTTTGAAAGTTGCGGCTGGAGCTGTAAAGAGTGTTTCCTAATGGGCTTTGTTAGACTCCTGTTGGCTTGTTTGACTCCGGCTGACCATTTAGAGTATGCTACAGGGAGATCTTTTTTCCTTGCTGCTGTGTTTTTCCTGCAACAGAATAGAAATGTGAAAAAGTGGATTAGCAGTGACTGAGTGAGTTTACAGAATCTCTTGTCTGTGTTCATGTTTATGGTCAGTGAGCAGGCGCTGAATAAACTGGAGTGAAACAGGTGATGGGATCCATGTTGCTGCTGAAGAAATATGTGTCTCTTGGGAAGCAGCCCTTCACAAATGGCATCAAGTGGTTTTACTGGCAGCCTTGTGCCTGAGGATGAAAGGGGAAATGGACTAGACTATGTTATCTTATAAGTATTTAATTTCTAAAAGTTTTCCTTGCAGATCAGAATTCCAGTATACTTGGGAAAAGATAAATACTTTTATTTTTACTATCTACTTTGGACATGTCTTGCTGGATACAGAAGTGGAATCAGAAGGGTGGTGTGAGGGTCTAGGAATAGTTCCTATGCTGTCTGGTGCAAGTTATTTCAGGCAAAGCAGCAGACCCAGCTGATCAGAGGGGAGAAGGTGAACATGAAAGACAGCCAGGCCTTGGTGGCTTCTAACATCTCAGAGAATAAATTGAGTTCAAGTAGGCTTTTTGTTCTCATTTACTCTTGTCAACAAGCAGACTAAGTGGAAACACTCTCTGAGTGTGGATGTTAGTCTCCAGAGCTGCTAATCCAGTTTCTTGATTTACTTGCTGGGACTTTCTGTTGTTTGGGAGAGAGGGAAGAAGGAAAACGGAAGCAGGAAGTAAGAGGAGGAGAAATGACATGTTTTAGTTGTAGTGCTTCATGCATATGTAGACTTTCCAGCCACCTGAATTAGAAGCAAAGCATGTTACCTCAGCCACTGCTGCACAGCTGGGAATTACAGCTATTGTACACCCCTGGCGACTGTCTTACTGCCTGAGTGACTAAGAGGCTTTGCCAGTGAGAATCAGGAGTGATATTTAGAGGGGATGTGCATGTGTGCTACAGATTTCACAGCTTGCTTTGCACAGAAAGTTGGGTTTCTTTTAAACAACAGGTAGGCATCTGTGAGAAAACTGGGTGCACAGAAGTGTGACAGAACAGAACAATAAGCTACTGTTTAGCTGGGTTTCCGCATCTTAACTGGCTGGAAATCTTGGTGCTTAGAAGCTTGCTTTTGCAAAATCCATGGGAGGGAAAGGCCCTGACCATGGGGCGCTGTGAGGGAAGCGAGGACTGGGGTAGGAAGCACAGTGTGAGTAGCCATATGTGGAGCTGCTCCTTTGGGGGGTTGGTCCTTGTAAAGTAGCCTTTCTTACAGCTCTTATCCTCTGTTCTTTCCTCTTTCTTTATGATGAGACCAGATGGGTGTTACTTCAAAGGAGAGTTGGACACCTAGAGAAGCCGTTTCGGATCTCACTGGAGTATATTGCTGCTGGGAACAAGAGCGTAGCAGCTGTGGATTCCTTTGCGATGAAGAACTGCAGTTCAGGTAACAGTGTATTTGATTGCTTCTGGCTCATAGTCTTTTGATGCCTTTTTGGAGAGGAGCATAAAAAATAAAGTAGGGTCCCTTCCAAGGTAGTTTTGGGGTTTTTTTGGGTTTTGGTTTTGGGGTTTTTTTGTAGAAAACCTTAGAAGTTTCCTTTGAGAAGTTAAGAACAAGTCTGGCAGGGCTGGGGGTGGGGGATATGTTTCCATTTGGACAGAATTTCTATGAAAATTTAATTTCAGGAGAAACGGAGTATTCATCCTGGCTTGCCTATCCTGGCAACTTTGCTTTTCTGCAGCAGAAAGTGGAACAGATCAGGGGTTTTCCTAGACAGACATCTTGCGAGCCATCATTTTTATTTTCATGGTTACAAATTTCAGGATTGTTTTTTAAACAACTGTGGAAAACTTGATTCTAAAAAGTATGGCTTTCTTTGGCAATATTCCAAAGCAGTTATTGCTGAGTAACCCCTAATAGCTGAATGTAATGTGTGGAGTTTTAATAATGGACAACCTTAATAGGGGTTACTTTTTTAAACACAAGCTCTGTTACCAATCCAAGTATGTAAATTTAGTGCTCCATGCCAGAAGCAGCTGCATATTAGTTCTACCAGTTTTATGGACCCTGTGAATCATACTGAAATCTTTAGGTGGCATGTCAGTGAAGAATATTACTACTTATAGCTCTTAACACATTACTTTTTGTCCATTTTATTTATTTGGAGTACTGCTGACTTGGACTGCCTGTCCTTCTTCTCAACCTGTCTAGGACAAGGAAATGTGCTGGAGAACATACATTATTTTGGTCATTTATGTTGCTCTCCACAAAGGCCAGTTGTATTAAGGGATTTATTGCACTGTTTGTACGTAAAGGCGCTCTCGAGGCTCCGGAAAGGAACAGCCTGACATTGTGCTGAAAGCACAGGGCATGTTCAGACCGAAAACACCTGTTCTGCTGCTGGTGTAGGGGCAGAACTCGTCCACATCTGCAGTGCTTTGGGAATTCATTGCAACAGACTATGGGCACATGAACCCTTCTCTTGGGAGCACTTGAAGGGGAACCGTAGGTGGCAGACTGCGAGCTCATATCCACACCAAGCACTGCTCTGCCGATGATGGATGTCAGGTGCTGAGGCCATTAAGACACATTGTGAGGAAAAGCAGGAACAAATCTCCCATTTTGTCTACAGATTTGTAGCAAATGGCTACTCCTCTGCTCTGTTTAGAGGACATGGTGTATGAGTAATACCACCGGAAAATAAAACCACTTGTTCTTTTTTTTTCAGTTGGTTTAGACCACTAAGCCTTTTGCACGCGGCTGAAGATGTGGTACTGTGTCCTTTTACGAGAAAAAAAGGTGGTGATGAGCAGCCAAGGGTGGCACCCTAGGCTTGGAGAAAATAGAGAAAGTAATAAGAAAAGATTAATCTAAATCTAATTTTTCTGCAGCTGTTAGAAGCCTTTGGGCAGCTTAGCTACTTGGATACCTTAACGTCACTGAAGCACATAAAACATGGGTGAATTTGGGAAAGAAACATCTGAGAAACAGTAACATGCCTTCAGCCTGATTTTTCTAAGCCTTTTGAAGACCACACATGCAATTTAAAAATAAATTAAGGTGTACAGACAATCATAGGAAATTAAGCTCCCATTTCCGTAGGCGTATGTGGGTTAGATATAGAATCATGGAATCACAGAAAATGCTGGGTTGGAAGGGACTCCTCAGGATCATTGAGTCCAACACCTGAAGAGTCACACCATGTACCTGAGAGTGTTGTCCAAATGCTTCTTGATCTCTGTCAGGCTTGGTGCTGGGACCACTTCTCTGGGGAGCCTATTCCAGTGCCCAACTACCCTCAGGGTGAAGAACAACAAGGGCTTGAAAAAGGTAGAAGCTTGAGGTTGAACTCTGCTTTTGCCCATTGGTAATTCCATTTTTTTTTTGAGTTCTTTGATCGTAGAAAAGATTTTGCATAGAAAAAAATTATTACATTTGAACCAAAAAAATAACAGCCTATATGGGATTGAATGGGGAATTAAAATTAAAAACTTAAATAGATTCAGATGCTGATCAAATTCTGAATTTTTAAAAATTCTAGATTTAAAAATTCTAGATTCATATCCCATCTAATTAAAAATAGTTGAGTGGACATGTCATTGCAGTGTCTTAATTGTGCCCCACATTTACCTTTCTTCAGTCAACATTGCAGCAGATTAGAAAATCAGTGACTTGTCGCTTGAATATCTTCACATTTCCCAATTTCCATTAGAAAGGGAGAGCTCTTACAGTTTTTCTCAACCATAAGGTTAGAATCCAATCAGAAAGCCCCAACAGTCAATAGAAAGACTGCCTGTACTTCTATAGGTTTTGGCTCAGGACAACTAACAGGTAGCATTGCCCATCATCCTACAGCCAATTGAGTTTCAATTACTGACTTAAATGTGAAGCAAATTGTGTTTGTCAGTGTGTAAAACCTAAGCTATTGATTACCTAATTTTTGTTTCTTACAACTTACTATTTAAATAAGTGCAGCAGCCAAAGCACAAAAAAAAATAAATTTACAAATTGCAGAGAAGTAATATATTAATTTAATAACATCAGTTAAGAATTTGTTCCTTCTACATGTAAAGTAATTGGTACAGTGGCATTTTATAGTTGATGGTAATTTCTAGTAATAAAAATAGAGTTCATTTCCTAAGTAATGTATTGACTTATTTATGATATTTAATGGGTTTCTTACTGATATTTTATTGCAGTTGTAAATTAATTAATTTGCTAACTTATTTCCAAAAGTCTTAATTAAAGTACTTAATAGTAAGCACAAGTAAATGACAAGACATTGTTTTACTTAGCAATGTTTGATTTACCAATTCTAAGTAAATTTTTACATAAGGGGCGTGGAGACCAAATGCTTCTGAAATGTGTTAAAGGTTTAATGATGCTCCAAGGCTGTTAAAAGCAGTTATTTCAGACACTCAGCCTGTCCAAGAGGAAGCACTTAGCTTTCAAGTTTTCAAGCTCAGCAAGCAACATAAAAACCATTTATTTTGGAGAGGGGAGAGACTGTGTGTTGTTGATTAAGTTAATGCTTCTGTCCACTCAGCAATAGCTTTTTTCAATGGATACTGAAAGTACGTAGAAATACGCTCATTACCTTCAGAGCTGTAGGCAGTTAGTTTTGTAATGATCTCATGGTTGTAATAATGCAAATTTCTGAAAACTGAAGTTAAGGTTGTACTAAAGGCAAAATCCTTGATGTAAAGCAGAGGACCTCTCAAGAAAGGAAAAATTTTGAAGGCCAGAAGATGATTTTACTGAAAGAAGGGATAGCAAGGAAAGAGTAAGGATATGGACTTGCAACGTGTGTGAAGAAATACGACTGCCTGCCAGACAGAATTTTTCATGATTCCCTTTTATAAATAGTCTAGCAACAGATTTATGAATCAACTGCAGGAGATCAATAAGGGCTTTCTCCAAACACGATTGCTTCTGTATCTGAATCATTACTAAAATGATGGTTTTGTGTATTCAGACAAAACCTGAATATGTATCATTTCAGTTTTCCCACGTATGCTCCCTTTTTGCAGTTTGTCTTATAAATTAATTTCATGACAGGATGTTGTGGTTAACTGAACTTAATGAAATACCAGTGAGCCCCTTTTCAAAATGAATTCTTGATGCTTCCTACTGGAAAATTGCCTGGAAGAGTTAACCTCTTCCAAACAGAAGACTGAGATTACATCAGTGTGTGTGATAGAATCACAGAATAGCCCAGGTTGAAGGAACCTCCAAAGAGAATCTGGTCCAAATTTTTGTGTGAAAGGAAGTCTAGGTGAGGTTATTTAGAACCCTGACCAGCTGCATCTTAAAAACCTCTGGTGATGGGGACTCTACCACATCCCTGGGGAGGTTGTTCTGGCAGCTGCTTCTTCTCATGGTAAAAAAAATTTAATGTGTTTCAAATTGAAGTGCCACGTGACACACAGCTAATTTAGATGTTAATAGTTAATTAACTTAAAATTTTTTTGTATAACATTTAAGTAATTTTCACTTGAGTAAAACTGCAAGATATTTACAGAAATTTATGAAACAACTAGCTGAATTGTGACAATATTTTATTATTTATTATTTGTTTGTTGCAATTATGGGATGGAGGAAAGAAGATATGCACCTTCAGTGGAATCAACCATGTCATCTTATATGGTCTTGAGATCCACCCCGTACAGAAATTCAGATGAACAGAACAATGAGCACAGTCAGTAATGTGTTGTTGTTATAAAACTGAAAAATAGACAGGATTAAAAAAAGAAAAGTAGTCATAATTTCAAAAGTAGTTGTCTCTACTTGAGGTTTAGGACCAACATTTACCATAATACTTACTTGGCCTATCCAGGTAACTTTTGTGTAAAGGAAGCTGGAGAATTTCCTTTGGCATTAATGCCACGGTTAAAGAGTTTACCAAGCCAGAAGAAAGGTTCAGTTAATTGAAATCAATGGGAATTATTAAGTATGTTTGGATTAAGTTTCTTCATTTAAAAAAAAAAAAAAATCAGGCAGATTGGATGCATTTTCTATGGAGTGGCCTGTGCTATTTATACAGTTCAACTGGGCTGGTTTTCCTGAGGGTCTAATTTCACTAAGTAGGCATTTGGAAAAGCCTTACTATTTTAAGAATATTTGCTTCCAAGTGCTTTGGCAACCGCCTTCCTACCCATTCACCTCTGTTCCCCCATGAGGTATGACTGATTATTCTGACTTCAGCCTGTGTGCCAAAAACTATCTCTAACCTGCTAGTGTTTTAATCCTGTAGGGATCTTGTCTGGGAGAAAAAACTGCTTTACAGATGAGTGTGGTGGCTGCAGTAAAGTTAAATCATTTTAAAGTCATTCCAAAGTGAAAGTTATTTCACTTGTGGTTTGTGCCAATTTAAGTAAAATAAATTTAATGAACTTGTTATGGGGCTTATCTTTGTTTTCACTTTCATCTTTTTTAAATTAAGT